ACTGGCTCTCAAGAAAAAGACAGGCAAAAGGATTCATTAAAGAAGAAAGTGGGAGATGCAATAACTGTGTCTTCTCTTTTGTCTTCAACAATACATCCATGGATTCTGCATCCATGGATACAACTATCCTCAGCTTGAAAATACTCATCCACCTCATTCCAAAAAGCAAAGCTTGATTTATCTGTTTTATATAAGGAACACCATCCCTTCTCATTCACTGGACGGAGTCTGCGGTCTCAGTCCTTCACAGATGGCAAGTGGAGAGGGACAAAATGGTGCATGCACAGGCGAGCGCTGCCACTGAAATCAATAGGGCTTGGATATTTGCGATTTTCCCGATTCATGGGGGAGGGGGGGTCTGGAAGGTATATATAAAACATAAATGAACTTCATGTTTAGACTTGGGCCTTAACATAATATCTTATGTACATGCAAATATGCCAAAACCTGAAAAAAATCTGTAATCCAAAACATTTCTGGTTCCAAGCATTTCAGATAAGGGAAACTCAACCTGTAATGGAGCATGAGCATCCACAGATTTTGGTATGCACAGGGGGTCTTGGAACCAAGCCCCAGCAGATACCAAGCACCCACTGTATAAGCACTATATCTAAGAAAGAACCTAGCAGCCCTACATTTTCAAATGCTAATGGATACCATATAAGGTGAATAAAGGTCCTGTGGACTTGAATTGTGGCATGTGAAGCAAGCTGAATATGCATCAGAGTTGATTTTTATAGCATATTATTGACTTCAGTACATATTGAATCCACAAATTGAAGTTTTATGAGGAGCAACATGAGGTGTATAAGTTGGGGTTGCCCAGTTACAAGCTGAGGAGGGATCATATGACTACTGTACTTCATGGGCATTTAACTACAGTGTGATTTTCAGAAACAAGCAAAGGAGACTTTTACAGTGTGCAAATAAACAGTGGTATGGTGGAGTTGGGCTTGCAGGTCAAAGCACTGGGATTTTTTGATTAGCAGAGACAAGTCATCTGCTACCTATCTCAAGCTTATCTCTTCTCTGAGAGCTTACCACCCAGTTAGCCTGACATCAATACTGGGAAAGATTCTAGAGCAGATCATTAAACAGAGAGTTTGTGAACATTTAGAAGGAAATGCCATAATCACAAAAAGTCAACATGGGTTTCAGAGAAACAAGTCATGCCAGACAAATCTGATCTCTTTTTTTGATAACATTACCAGCTTGATAGACGAAGGGAATGCTGTAGATCAGGGGTAGGCAACCTTTCCCCTTTAAGGGCCGAGGGACTTCAGCTCCCAGAATCCCAGGAGCTATTGGCCAACATGGGACTATTGGCCAACATGGCTGAGGCTTCTGGGAGCTGAAGTCCCTTGGCCCTTAAAGGGGAAAAGTTGCCTACCCCTGCTGTAGATATTGCATATCTTGATTTGACAAGGTCCCCCATGATATTCTTGCAAACAAGTTAGGAAAATGTGGGCTAGACAATGCAACTGTTAATGGATTTGTAATTGGTTGACCGACTGAACCCAAAGGGTGCTCAGCAATGGCTCGTCTTCATCCCGGAGAGAAGTGACCAGTGGGGTGCCACAGGGTTCTGTCCTGGACCCATTGCTATTCACCATCTTTATCAATGACTTGGCTGAAAGAATAGAGGGCATGCTTATCAAATTTGCAGATGACACTAAATTAGGAGTAGCTAATAATCTGGTGAGCTCCTGTCACTATTCCCAACTTCTGCCAACCTAGCAGTTTGAAAGCATACAAAGACAAGTAGATGAATAGGTACCACTTCAGTGGGAAGGTAAACAGCGTTCTGTGCAATCATGCTGGCCACAAGGTCACAGAGTAGTCTCTGACAATACTGGCTCTTTGGCTTAGTAATGGAGATGAGCATCGCCCCCTATGGTCAGACACAACTTGACAATTTTGTCAATGGGGAATACCTTTATCTTTACTAATACCCCAGAGGAGAGGATCAAAATTCAAGATGACCTAAATAGATTTGAAAGCTGGGCCAAAACTAACAAAATGAATTTCAACATGGAGAAATGTTAGGCAGAAAACAATGAAATGCATAGATATAGGATGGGGGGCACCTGGCTTAACAAGACTACATGTGAAAGGGATCTAGGAGTTCTAACTGACCACAAGTTGAACATGAGTCAATAGTACGATGCAGCAGCTAAAAAGGCCAATGCAATTCTAGGCTGCATCAATAGAAGTATAGTATCTCGACCAAGAGTAGTAATAGTGCCACTCTATTCTGCTTTGGTTAGGACTCACCTGGAATACTGTATCCAGGTCTGGGCACCACAATTCAAAAAAGATGTTGAGAAATTGGAGCGTGTCCAGAGGAGGGCAACCAGATAGTGAAGGGTCTGGAAACTATGCCTTATGAGTGACTGAGAGAGCTAGGTATGTTTAGCCTGAAGAAGAGATGGTTAAGAGGTGTTATGATAGGCCTGTTCAAATATTTGAAGATGTGTCATATTGAGGATGGAGCAAGGTTGTCTTCTGCTGCTCCAGAGACTAGGCCCCAGAACAATGGATTCAAGCTACAGGAAAAGAGATTCCACCTAAACATTAGGAAGAACTTCCTGACAGTAAGAACTGTTTGACAATGGAACACATTCTTTCAATGTGATGAAGTCCCTCCTTTGGAGGTCTTTAAACAGAGGCTGGATGGCCATCCGTTGGGGGTACTTTGGTTGTTAGTTCCTGCCTGACAGAAGGGGGTTGGACTGAATGGCCCTTGTGGTCTCTTCCAACTCTATGTTTCTGATGATTTTTAGCTGCAATTCAAAACGTAGCTGGAGATGGCAGGATGGATGTTCCCATAAGCAATATATTGTTGCAGAGTGCTGTTGCTTGAACTTGAAAGAACAACGAAAACCCATTAGCTTGAAAAAAACCAAAACCTGCTTCTGTTGGTGCTAAAAACTGGCAGAAGTAGTTAGTTGGTATGGAATTTCAAAAAATGAACAGATACCTGCATTTTGGGACTTGTGTCTTGCTGGCATGGCTGTGGGGAATGTCATGATAAGCATCTGCAAGTGAAGATTTACCACTACACTACAGAAGATAAACATTATCAGTGGCTAGTATCTGCAGACAGTGCAAACGTAAATGCAGTTACAGCTGAAAAGATGAACACCTTAGCAGGTCATAGACCCATTACATGTTTCTGGCATAGGATGCAAAATGCTGTTGAGAGTTTTCAGTTGTTCATGTGGATAGATTCAGAAGTAGTCTTCTCACTGTGTGTTCCTGCATTCTGGAAAATATTTCACTTCACTGAATTTCTATAGAAGTTTTAACATCAGAGGGCCTCGCTAGAAAATGTTTAACAACTTTGTTCTAACAATATATAGTGTCATTGTGTCGGTGTGTGTACATATGTTTATGTTATTATATATGTTTGTATGTGTTGAATGGGGTGTGTGAGAGTTATGATTATCTTGTTTGTTTTTAAATTGTGGGCTTTGAGGATGGAAACAAGTCTTTAGTAAATTTAAACTTGTCAGTGTGGCCGTTGTTGTTGTGTGCCTCATTTTTTACTTATGGTGACTCTAAGGTCATAGGGTTTTCTTGACAAGTTCTTTAGATTAGCTTTGCCATTGCCATCCTCTGAGGCTGAGAGTATGACTTGCTCAAGGTCATCCAGTGAGGTTTTTTAAATGCTCTAACAAGGAATCTCCAGAGTCGTAGTCCAACGCTCAAACCACTACATCACACTGGCTCATATGTTAACATAAACTATCTGATTGATTTCTAAGCTATAATTTGTGCTGCAGGGCACTGGATTTGTTTGGAAATGAGTTGCATCGGAAATTAAATTGATAGTAACTGTAATGTCTAACATTGATATTGCCTTGTCAGTTGCTGACTGGTTGAAGTGTTCATGGAACTAAACAAAAACAATAGTACTTTATTTATTCCCATTAATTAGAATTCAGGTAGAGAAACTGGAATGTAAACAATTCATGGACAACTTGGCCCTCTGCTTACCTAGAAGGAAGGCAAAATTCAGTAGGATTTACATCCAAAACACACTGCAGACAATGCTAAAAGTCTCATAAAACTGCAGTTCCCAGAATTCCCTAGCATTGAACCAGGGCAGTTAAAGCAGTCTCAAACTGAATTATTTCTGCAGTGTGTTGTGGATCATAGTTTCAAGTGAGAAAGCATAAGATAGGAGTGTTTAGCTATTTAGTAGGTCCCATTGCACCGGAAATAGGTCCCATTGGCTGAAACAGAATTGCTAGTCCCAATAGAAGCTTTGAATCACTGGAATTTATAGAAGTGTTGGCTTACTATTATGCAGTTAGGATTAGCAGTTTGATTTTGTTGTTATTGTTATGTGCCTTGAAGTTGTTTCTGATTTATAGTGACGCTAATTAGGGCAAACCTATCACAGAGTTTTCTTTGCAGTGTTTGTTCGGAGGGGTTAATTTAGGGCACTAAAATCAATAAAATGGAATTGATACTCTTCTATTCAGAATATTTGGATAACCCAGGGGCCCACATGTTGTATTTGATGCTCTTTATTGGTTGCACACACATATCTGACATAAATCTCTTTCCTTTTTATCTTTCTTCCTTCCTTCCTTCCTTCCTTCCTTCCTTCCTTCCTTCCTTCCTTCCTTCCTTCCTTTCCTTCCCTTCATCACAACAATAGCAGCATTTTTCCTATGCAGAGCACATTGTAGAGTTGAATTCTCACATTCTTTGATTGTGCTTTCTTGACAATGGAAGTAAGCAAATTGATTCTGTTGCTGCATCCTGACCTGTTCCTAAAATATATAGCTTGTAGCCAGGTAATATTTATTCAAAACTGGAACTGGCTTCCCTTCCAGATGCAAATTTGTTATCTAGTTTCTGACTGAAGCGAGGCAGATTTGAACTGATGTATAAAAATAATGTCACTGGGTACCAAGGGGTAGTCACACAACCACCAGTCCTGCCATTACTGTGGTATTCTGGTTATTAGTCTATTAACTTCTAAGAGAGCCAGTGTGGCATAGCTGTTTGAGCACTGGACTATGACTCTGGAGACCAGGGTTTGAATCCCAGCTTATCCATGTAAACCCATTAGGTGACCTTAGACAAGTCACACTCTCTCAGCCTCAGAAGATGACAATGTCAAACCCCCTCTGAACAAATTTGCCAAGAAAACCCCATGATCACTTTAGGGTCACCATTAGTCAGAAACGGCTTGAAGGCACACAACAACAAAACAGCACCTTCTTAGAATCCTGGGTAACCAGGGATGTGAAGCAGGGAACTTCATTCTCCGTTATTCAAACTGTATTCTTGCTACAGACATGATTGATTAAATGCTAATCTAATTTTGTACCCAAATAGAAGGGAACGATCATGCTTATGAACCTCACAAGTGCTCTTTCCCTCATTGGGATTTGTAATATCCATCTGTGGAAAGTAGAAAGAACATGTGTGTCTTTGTTCTTCTGTCATCCTATCCTCATCCTACATCACCACAAGGATATGCCCTTTCCGCTATTACACTAAAAGCCCAAAGAGCAAAGAATATAGGTGATGTTCATGATTTCTTTTTTATGTGTCCAGCCTTTGAAGAAGCCAGCCAGAAACCCAAAGGCTTTATAATCAGGGACAAGAGTGAGTAAAATAACCGATAATGGGAAAAGGATGAATGGAATCACTCTTCAGAACCAGATGAAAATCCTAGCTCTGCCATTGGGAGCAAACAGTTTCGTTTCAATGAGCCTCATAGTACTTATTGGGTATACAAAGATATTAGAGCCTATAACATGGCATGGACTCATAAAATTGAGTTTGCTCACATAGTAAAGCAAGGACAACATTGCCAGTGGTGTCACAGATATCTTTTGTAAGCTGTGATTCCTGAAAGCTGTTTTTTTTAAAGCCCCTTTTAACCAGCATTGCTGCTAAGGTGCAAAAGTTAAGGATTGCTGATAACTAGCCCAAAAATCCCATTGTGCCTCACTTGGGGTGAAGCATCTTACAAAACTGCTGGCCCATTCATGCCTTTCTCCTGGGTAGGGA